AAGAGACAAAAGAGTGAAAAGACGGAAGGAGAAAAGGAAGGCAGGCAGGAGGGAGCGAGGGAGGAAAAGAGAGAAAGAAAGAAAAGAGACAAACCATACTTAGTGCATTTATTCATTTAAAATGAATATTTTTACTTGACTGGGGGGAGGAGAGAGAGAGACTTATAAACCTGAGGGAAGGTGCTACATGTATTCATTTGCAAATTTCATTCATAGGCTGGTTCTTGGAGAACTTACAAAGTCCTTCATTTTACAGAATATCTGAGCCCCTCGGGAGTAGTATTGTATACATCATCCCCGTGCAAGGGCCGTAGAGCTTTTGTGTGAGTTACCATGTATGATAACTATTATGGTTATGCAAGTGCAGAGACAGACTGATGCTCCACTGTGCCTTAACCACAGGACCCTGCTCCACAGCGCTGGTGGAGATGACCTGTGCTGGCCCATCATTGCCTGCCCAGGCTGCTTAGGGCCCCCGGGCTGGGTCCCTGGCAGCACTGCAGGCTGCAGCGAGCAGCCATCCCGTAACAACCAGCCAGCTGCTCTGTACGGGGCCGCGCTCCTCCAACTCTTAGCCAGCATCAGCTCCACTTGTTGGGGAGTAGGAGGCAATCAGGCCAGCACCTACTTAGGTCTTCCCCAGAAAAAAACTCTACAAACAACAGCAAAGAAAATCTTGCTTGGTCCTGAATCTAAAACCATTGAACTGGATCCTGCGTGTCCCACAGGCTCAGATTTAGCACTAGTGAAAGCCATGCCTTTTCTCAGGGTTTAGGTGCCCTACCCTGTGTAATCTTCCAGGTGGGCCAGATACAAGGTTTAGCCTTGTACGGAGTTAACTCTTAGAATAAATGTGGTGGGCTCATTTTAGCCTATACAAGTAATTTGCTAGTACCCCAAGCCCCAGAATTTGGCACACATAGCAGCCAAGCAGAGGGACACTGCTGTCACTTGAGGTTTGAACTGCATTTGAAGACGGAGAGGCTGTGAAATGAAAGCTCACTGACCATGGTTCGCCAATAGCTACCAAACCTTGGTTTCCTGCAAGTCCTCACTCAGTTCTACATACGATAACATTTTTGTTCCAAGCTGTAAAGTTATATACTTCACTTTTTGCCTTTTGCTATATTTAGTACAGAGATGGTCAAAACCATTTTTTTAAAATTTTTGCAGAAAATGTCAACATTTTAATACTGGGTTTGTTTCAAAATGTTTGAAACAGGCATGTTTTTATTAGAAATATACGTATTTATTTCTGAAAGCAGTATTAAATGAGTGGTTACCTATATGTTATGCATCAGAAGAATTTTGCTAAAAAAATACACATTTAATAGCATTTTGATCACTTTGAAAAAATGGAAAAAGGCACATTTTTTCCCCAATATTAGCTTTTTTAAAGCCATTTTTTTCCATGAGGAAAAATGTTCTGTTAAAAAAACAAGGATCTATTCTAGCTTTGCACTAAGCAGTCACAGCACGTAAATTTTAACACGCCTTGGGGTTTTAAAGTCTCTCTCTCTCACTTTTCTATATTTACATTTAATGCTATAGAGCTAAGTGCATTCCTCTGCCTGCCATCACTCTGCAGCCCCTGTGAGACCAGACTGAATTCACAACCCTTGGATAGTGGTGTCTCTTCTACATCACAGAACATTTCTGCTCAGCAGCCTGTTTCATTTCGGTGAAGGTGGCTTGTGCCTTTTCTTTGATCGCATCCATGTCCATATTCTGGATGTTCTGCAGCTGTCCCAGGATAGAGTCCTTGTCCTCTTCCTCCACCTGATCTTCTGCCACCATCTTCTGAAGGTCTTCTGGCAAACCCACATCATCTCCAGCCATCTGTATTTGATTCTCATCCAATTCACTCTGATACAAAAAGCAGAAAATAAAAACAGTACATGAGAGTATTTCTGCTATCCCAGGATCTACCGATGAGTCTCTTTTTTGTTCGTTCGTTTGTTTGTTTGTTTGTTTTAGGGAGAACCGAAGCATACGCACAGGTTTTTCAGTCAAAGTCTTTAGATGCAACTTGTGAATTCAAGGGGCTCAGTCAGCCCCATACAAGTGCTAAGATTTTTCAGAGAATGTCAACTGTATTCCTTTGAAGGATTTCAGCAGTGTCACTTGCCATTTTAGAAATCTGTGCCGTATGCGTTAACTGTGGTAACATGCCGATCCTGCAGGAAATCCACCACAAGTTATTTGTATCCACCAAAGACATGCTGCAATATACTGCCTGGGCTGTCGTCTGTTCTGCAATTTGGCTGATGAAGCAATGGCTTTAGAAAAACTGTGGCTACCATTCCCCTATTCATTTGGTGGTGGGTATTTTTAGATATCAGCACTAAACTGAAGCCTTCCTGAAGAAAGATGCATTAAACTCAGGAAAGAATTACTGGAAAAAAGGTCTCCATCTTCCCCAAATCATGTCTAAACTATATCTAGGTCTTTGGTCTGCATCTCTGAGTTGTGATGAAGGGCCAGGGCTGCCTGGCACATAGTCAGAGCAGCGCTGCAGTGCTGGTAAGTGGGGTAATAGGAGGACTTAGACAACAAAAGAGAGGATGGAGGTTGGGTGTGAGTCTGAGAAAGCAAAAGGAGACAGGAGAAGGAACTGATTAAGCAATTAAAAGGGCTGAGATGCAGTAAGCACTACACACGCTTGCTTCCTGCCTGCCCGCTGAAACGCTCTGTCAGTGGGGCTACGTCAATTTTTCAAACAATGGCGATTTTGTTCACATTTTGTGGTGGATTCTGATGGATGGAGAGCTCAGAAGAACAGGATATTTTGACACAGTTCACACATCAAAGATAAGTATTAATGCCTCATTACATCTCCAAAATGAAGCATGACAGCAGCAAAGGCCTGATAAGAATAAGCATCAATGCTGTCAGCAAGAGGTGTTTTTGGGAGTGAGCGGGGTCTTGGGTTTGCATGAATGAATGAATGCAAGAATGACTGGAAGGACATGTATGAGCAATGTCTGTGTAGTTCCAGGCCTTAGCAAGGACAGGCAGACTGGGATGCTTGACTGCATGGCCACTATTTACTGTTAGATATATTTGCACAGCTTTATGTTTGCAATAACTGTACTTCCCTTTAACCTGATTTCTCCCCATATCTCTTACGAAAATAGGGAGAGGTGTATCATGATCGTTACTACTATGTGGCCAAAATGGGTGAGGACATCTCTTAACCCTGTTGGGTAAGGGTCACTGCTATCAGATCTGTGGGAGCTAGAAACAATATCCCAAGCGGCAGAGGTATGCTTTATTGATTGTGTAGCAGGAAAAAATGTGTTAAGCTTTTAATCAGCAAGTGCTGGCTATCGGAGGAGTTAGTCCTTTGGAAATTCTCCCAAGTAGCAGTGGAGGACGATACGACAGATACTGGGTTAATTACTGAAAAAGTCCCCCTAAGCAGACAATCACACATGTTCTTCTCTTTAGAACTATTTATAATTTAAGACATCGTCACTGCACACTACTGTATATTATGTGGAAAGATGCCCATACAGATGTGAACAATTGTGTCACGTTCTTGCACCAAAGCCCCCTGTCCTCCTGAAATCTGAAATGTGATGCACAACACAATTTGGGGGTTTAAAGTGTTCTCTGACCAAAGAATAACGTATTCAGATGTAGGCTAAAGCAGTACAATTCTGCCCGAGTCACCTGCCTCTGCTCACTTGGCATTTAGCCTGTCCTTGAACAGACCTAGCCTGAGCTTCAACAGGGTAGGGTCGCTCAACAAGCCAAGAAGTACAGAAGACGTGTATGGCCTCTTCTCTTCCTTCTAAAATTTGACAGACAGATCCAGTTCTGTTACTTTGATTTGAAATGGAAATGTAGCATTAAGTTTCTGATTCTACCTGTTGTTTTGTTTTTCTTTAAGTCTGTTGGAAATAAGTTAGAGCTCTCACAAGTAGAGACCAGAAGATTTTCCCACTGGATGTTCTTAAAGTCAGGCTAATGCTGCAAGTGTCCAAATACACAGTGAGCCTGCAGCTCCAAGCACTCACTTCTGAAAGTCAGGATCAGAAATGTGTTGCTGGAAATGCATCGTGTCTGTTAGTTCCCGACAGCAGCTTGCAACCAGAGTGCAAGCAGGGTGTGCAGATCCCTGCTGTCCCAGCATGCACACGTGTGGGGACTGTCACTTGCCCAAGGCCAGACATGGCTTTGACAGCGATAGAGGCACTACCCTGCATCGGAATACACTCAGCTTGGACTATGGAGAGCACCCAAAATAGGCAGACCTCGTGGACAGGACAGCTCAGGCCACGGGCTTTAACAAACCCGTACAGAAAGCCCCTCTGGACCCTGGCAAACCTGCACTGGACTGGATGGCCTCTCTCCTGATGACTTTAATCTCCAGAGTCTCCAGGTCTCTGCAAGTGTTCAGCCACCCTTTTAGGATCTCTGAGAACACAGAAGCAACATCTATTCTAGTAAATTAAATATGCCTGGCACCAGTCTCTTGCCCCAAGGCCAGCTGGCCTGGAACAACCCACTGCGATGCTATTGAACTCTCTCACCCTACCAAACAGTGTGGTCCCATCTAACTGCCTATTGGGAATGCCTGTCCTAACTCCCCAACTGGCCCTGGGAACTGCTTGGGAGAGCGCCCAGGCCAAAACTGGGTCAGACACTATTCTGACAATTGAACAGCACAGGCGATAGAGTCCTAGGGCCTGGTAATATTCTTTGACCCTGATTACGCATCTGATGTAGTCAGACTCAGACCCGTTTTGTTATAGGTGCAATATAGAGTTCTTTATACCTACATGATACACAGGTATAAAGAGACAACAGACAGTCTAAACATCTGTTTATATGAAGTCTGATTGTAAACAAAAGAGATCAAAGCTCACAGACTAATCCACAGGAGAGCCAAACTGTTTTCCAGCATCACTATGTGATGTACTGCTTTCCTTAAGTTTAACTTATCTTGTCATAAAATATGCCTATGCGCAGAGATCCTTAGGTAGGTGAATCCAGACCTGATCCTGTGATTCATCACCTATAATGTACCAGTTACATATAAAATCAGAGTTCATCTTGCCTTGACCTGCAAGTGGGGTTTTTGGTAAGCAATACAGCAGCCCATACTGACCTACGCCATCCGAGGGCTGCAGGTACCTCACAGGTAGGTACGAGGAGCCACAGGCTGGAACCACCAGCCTTCTCCCCGGCAAACACCCTCTCGTGCCATCCCTACACCGGGCTCACAGTTTGGAGCACAGGGAAGGTGCACAGAAGCTGCCTGACACCCCAGCTGTCAGGGCCTCGTAGGCACCGTCACGTCATCGCCCAAACTGGCTTCAATGAGAAAGAGCCCCCTTACCCCTGGGGCCCAGAAACCCCATTTCAGCTCAGGTCAGGCCCCCAGCCCTGCCCTAAGCTACATCACAGCTGTGCCTGTGCCGAGGTGGTCCCCTGCTGAGCCTGGCTTGTTGACTGGTTTTCCAGGAAGGACCATGCTTTGCCTTCCCTGACGATCACTGGGCAGCCGCTGGACCCTGCTGCCAGCCCCAGCTCTGCCCACTGCGTTCAGAGCCTGTGGGCGAGGGCACTGCTGGTCCTGGGGTCCCCCATCGCCCTGGCCTGGACCTTCTCAGGGAGCAATCCTGATCCCACTGCCCCCTGACATCCACATTGTGACTCCATTTTTCCACAGTGGATCCAGAGCTGTTTCACTCTGGCCTATTAAGATAACATTTAGATCAGCAAAAGAATTCTTCAAGCTTAGCAAATACTTGTTTTCAGATACTTATCTAAAGCCTGTATGCACTGAAGAGCTTCTCCTGAGACAAGTTTCTCTTTCGCCCGGTCAATATGCATCCCCGTGGCACAGCTAGAGCTTATGTAATGGCTGCATGCAAGTAAAAAACCCTTTAATTCTGGAATGGTGCTATTCATTAAATCAAGTCTTAACAATATTCCCATCACAGTGCAATAGAGCAAGAGCTGCTTGAGATTACATGACTACATCTCCCTTTCATGGCGAGAAGCTTTCCTTTTTAATGTCTTTAGCAGCACTTGCTATTGAAAAGACACCTGATTGCATCTGAATACTCTTTCCCTCTAAGTATCAGTGAACGAAAAACATCCTGCTGTTCAGTAACTGAGAATCTTGTAGAGCAGCGCCCACAGAAGTGCTTTGACTAGGGGAAGGGATCCACCTGCTTGGAGCAGATGACGTAGTCCCTTCCTGAGGTGGCAGAAATGCACGTATCACAACACAACCCCCAATATTGGACAGAAGAACGGCACTGATGTGACAATACTCTGACAGAGAGCAGCAGCATTCGAGGTGACGTGGCGGATTTATGTGCAGACCAGTGACGCGAAAGGGGTGGTGGGGCCCATGGGGAGAGGCTGCTGTGCTGCAGATGAGGTCTTTGGACAGGCTGGACAGACCTGTGGTCAGATGTTCCTCTCCTGCATCACAGGCACCATCACCTCAAACCCCTGTGTTTAGACCTTGTGGAAGTTAATTGATTACTGGATCCCAGTTCAGGAAAAAGGCAGTAAGTGAATAAGAGAGTTTGGTATTTGTTTGGTTTTTTTTAATTAAAGTATTTATTTATGTATTTATATATTTTTCTGAAAATGTTTTGTATGGAGGTGACGCATTGAATACTCCAAAGATGAAAAAGTTGTCCATAGATCAAATGTCTCATGGCTAAAAACATCTTTCTGATGACAAACCTAAGTTGACAATTCCGTTAATAGGATTAGGTTCATTAAGGGACTGCTTTCTCTTATAAATCTGGCCCAGATACCATGGAGCTTTAGATTTTGCACTGAAAAGGGGGCCCTGCTTAGTCCTGAATTTCATGCTTCCATTTACAATGTGTGCT